GCTGCGTTGAGAGTTCGTCACGCTATTGCGAGATTCTTTCTGAGCCTCCAACAGTGACTATTTGTGGTCAGTTTTCTTAAGCTGTTTCATTTTGTGCTGTCTACGTAGCCGTTTTCTGTGAATAATGTGTACAACCGGAATGAAGCGTCACCTTTGTTTCATTGTAAATTGTTGCCCGTACTGGGATTTGCAATTAAATTTTAAAGATTTTTACGAAATTGTTTACCTTAATGCCGTTTCAGCTCGAATCTCTAGCTAGTCTGTATAAGTCGTAAACTCTGATTTTCTGAACGACTAGTTAATTGTTTTACTGTTATATAAACATTTATTTGTTGAAGATCAGTCGGCAGCCATTAATTAAACCTTCGGCAGCCGTAATAATTAAGGCCAATGCCATAGATAATATTTTAATTCCAAAATGATGTTTTGACAGGCATTTAATTTGTATATACAAAGAACAATGAAAAACGTCCTTGGCCAAATCTGCTTGTGCAATATAGGCAATTGATACTTGGGTTATAGTAGGTGCGAAAGAATTTCAGAGGGGCTTAAATGTAATCATTGGGTGAAACACGGTGGCTGCTGGAAAAAGGATGACAGTCAGCCATGAACGATGTATAAATCGTGCGCTGACGTTGTTTGATTTCAAAAGATAGAAATACCAATGCAGAGATAATCTAAAAAATATAAATGCGTACTCCACAATGTGGTACCACGAGATGTAGATGAAATGCTGACATTTTCTGTGAATCTTTTACTCAACACCGAAAAAAATTTAATTGATGTGAAGTGAAATTTGGTACTGCTCCGTGTAAAGTCATGATAATTAGTGTGCTATTACTGTAAGAAATTCTGACGTTTCAACATAGCAACAAATGTAGACACGGCTTTGTCTGAGGGGAATGGTGCGCGCTAATTTGTTCGCCGCACAGCTGATCATCTCTACACCAGTTCGGTGACATTTACCTCGTCTCACCTTGGTACGTTAGTTTCGTGAAATAGAAGGACACAACTCATGAAGCATTTATTTTGTAATTTGTTTCATACAAGCACATTCAGTATAATATATTTCATCATCATCTTCCATCGTCGCTGCTCCTTTCCGATGGCGGAGGCAGACACGTCAGACTGAGCTTCCAACGTTCCCGATCCTGCGCCAGAGTCTGCGCGTCGGCAAAAGACAAATGGAGTCTGGAACGGACCATGTATTTGCCGCAGTTTAATCTTGGCCGTCCCCTCGGCCTTCTGCCGGTCGGATTTGCAAGGAACAGTTGCTTAGCCTTCCTTTCTGGAGGCATTCGCAACAC